CGGGATACGTATTATGGAAGACCAAGTCGGGTAAAGCGCTGGGGCCGGCGAGGCAGAGGGGTGCGGGAGGAAGGCAGGGCCTGGGGGTCCGGGAGGGGCTGCGGGCAGGAGCCGCTGCGCTCTGGGGAGTCCCCGAGCCTGGCGGCAAAGCGCGGTGGATGCTGACGCCTCTTTCCCTCTGCAGGGAGGAAGGACAAGGACAACAACTCGATGTCAAGTGAGTACCGGTCTGGCTCCAGCCGCTGCCCAGTGCCGGGGCCGTCTCCCGTCTCCTGGCTCTGGTTTCTGGCCGCTGCCGGCATTTCCTGCCCCGTGCCCCCTGTGCCGCCCCTATTCCCAGCCCTGTAGCAGGGACGTGTGGGAGAGGTCGTGTCTCCCCTCCGGCGCTGGCGGCACCGTCACCGAGTCATGGAATCGTGGAATCCCGGGTTGGGAGGGACCTCAAGGATCTTCTGGTCCAACCCTCCTGGCACAAGCCCGGCCTAGCCAAGGTGGCCCAGCCCCAGCCCAGCTGAATCTTCAAAGTGCCCAGCGTTGGGGAATCCACCCCTTCCCGGGGGAGATTATTCCAGTGGCTGCTTGTTCTCGGTGTGAGAAACTTTCCGGTTGTGTCCAAGCGGCCTCTCCCCAGCAGTAACTTGTACCCGTGACCCCTCGTCTTTCCCATGAGCCTCCCCGTCACAAGGGAGTCGCCGTCTCCTCTGCAGCCCCCTGAGCACCGGGACGTGGGGGTAAGGTCTGCCCTGAGCCCCGCAGGAATCCAGGCAGACAATGCCCACCGCTCGCCCCCGTCAGCCGAGCAGGTCCCTGTGTCGGAGCAGGCGACCGTCCTCCTCTCCCAGGGCTGCAGCGCGGCCGTGGCTCCCGGGCGGCTCCTGGCCCCTGCCCATAGCCAGCCCAGGCCGGCAGCTCACGGTTCTTTCTCTCCCGCAGGCTCGGACGGGGGCTCTGGCAGCTCGGCCACAGGTACGGCGTGGGACAGGGGGATGGACGGGGCGGCCCCAGCTCTCTGCTCCCCCGTGGGACCCGCAGGCAGAGCAACACGGGGCTGCGGGACGGGGACAGCGAGACCCCAGAGCAGCGGGTTGGGGACAGGGTGGTGGCCCTGGGTGACACCGTCTCTTCCTCTGCTCCCCGCAGGTTTGATCGCCTGACCGCTGGAGGAGGGGCTGTTGCGTGGCTGGATGCAGCCCCCTGCCCTCTCACCGGCTGGACGCAGGGAGAGGACGTGGCTGTGGCGGTGGCTCTTCTGGCCGGTGAACTTGCTGTTTGCAGAGGCTTTGGGAATCCTTAAAGATGAAAGTTTGTTAAGTTGAAGTTTGTAACGCTAAAGTTTGTTTAGCTAAATTTTGTTGAGCTGAGGTTCGTTACAATCAAGTTTGTTAAGCTCAGATTTGTTACGATCATGTTGGTTAAGCTCACGTTTGATAAGCTAAAGGTCGTTTAGCTAAGGTACCTTAAGCTAAATTTCGTTAAGTTAAAATTTCAGAAGCTGAAGTTCATTAAGCTAAAGTTTAAGTTAAAGTTTGTAACGCTAAAGTTTGTTTAGCTACATTTTGTTGAGCTAAACTTCATTAAGGTCAAGTTTGTTAATCTCAGGTTTGTTAAGCTCATGTTTGTTAAGCTAAATGTCGTTTAGCTAAGGTACGTTAAGCTATATTTTGTTAAGCTACAATTTGTTAAGCTAAAGTTCGTTAAGCTCGAGTTTGTTAAACTGAAATTTTTTAAGCTCACATTTCTTAAGCTAAAGGTTGTTAAAGTTTGTAACGCTTACATTTGCTTAGCTATTTTTTTTTTTAAGCTCAAATTTGTTAGGCTCAAATTCTTTTAGCTCAGGTTCGTTTAGCTGTAGTTTTTTAAGATCAACTTTATTAAACTAAAGTTCATTACATTTTGTTAAGCCAAATTTTGTTAAGGCAAAGTTCATTAAGGTCAAGTTTGTTATAACAAATTTCTTAAGCTCACATTTGTTAAGCTGAAGGTCGTTAAGCAAAATTACATTCAGCTCAAGTTTGTTAAGCTCAAGTTTGTTAAGCTCAAGTTTGTTAAGCTCAAGTTTGTTAAGCTCAAGTTCGTTAAGCTCAAGTTCATTAAGCTCACGTTTTTTAAGCTCAAATTCGTTAAGATCACATTTGTTAAGCTCATGTTTGTTAAGCTCACGTTTGGTAAACTCATGTCTGTTAAGCTAAAGGTGGTTTAACTACAGTACATTAAGCTAATTTAATTAAGTTAAAGTTAAATAAGTTAAAGTTTGTTAAAATCCGCTAAGTTCAAGTTCTTTAAATTAAAATTCTTCAGTCTTTTTTTAACCCTCTTTGCTGATATTTTAAAAACCCGTCACTGCCGTTATCACCGATGTATTTTCATTTTGAGGCTGCAGTTGATTTCTGCTCCACGTGTACTTGCCCTGGCAAATAAAATAAACTCTTGTCGTCCCCCCTCGGGGGGCTGTGCCTACTCTCCCGGGGCCTGGGCTGCTCTCGCAGCCTCGCCTCGAGCCTGGGCTGGTTTTGGCTGGGGTTGAGTTGATTTTCTGGCTGACGGCCCAGCAGGGTGCGGTGTTGGGGGTTTGTGACCCCGGCGGCGTTGGTGGCGCAGCGATGGGTCTGAACAGCGTTGGCACAGCGTCAAGGACATCTCCTTTGTCACTCGGCCACACGGTGAATAGACGGGGGTTGTGCAGGAGGTCAGAGGTTGTGCAGGGGACACAACCAGGCAGACAACCCAACCTGTCCAGGGAGATCCTAGCCCCGTCAGATGGTACTCGATGCTAAAAAGGCAAAAGAGAGGGTTGAGTGGGACCGGCTCTTCCTCAGGCCCTGCCTGGGTGTCGCTGTCCCTGGGCTGAGGTGGTGGTGTGAGACTCTCGAGAGAAACGGATAAGAACTACCAGAAAATGCACTTTACAACAACCGGTTGGCACTCCAGCTGAAGGGAAGTGGCTACCGTTATACTTGAAATTACAAGCCCCCTGACCCTACTGGGTCCAGTAAAGTAGGACCTTTAATTTTAACATTACCCGTCACTTGTGGTTTACTAGCTTTCCTTTTTCCCATATTTTACTGCAATGGATGTCATTTCCTTTATAATCTTTTCCCAACTACCCTCTCTAGTCATTACCCACTTGTAAGATGTTTTGAAAGCTGAAACTCCTTGCCTAGTGCAGATAAGACCGAGCTTGGACAATATGAAAACCTCCCTGATAAGAGGGACCTAAAAACCAAACGTCTGAGACGACGCCAGCGTCAAGAAAC